AGGGGGGGTTCTCTTCGTCTCATACCTTGCTGCATATGGATTTCGAAGCCTGTTTTGTAGCCTGAGCCCTCGGTGGAAATCGAATTCAGAAACGAAGCCGCATCACGCCATTATTCGAAACTTTACCCGCCTTCAGCAGAAGCACCCCCTCATCGGTTGAAAGAGCCATGCTGGTCGGGAATTTTCGTTTCTGCGGTAGCGACGCCCAAGTAACGCATAATGCATCTCATAGTCGTTCGCAAACCAGCGAAGTGAAGTTCTTACCAAAAGAGCGTCCTTTTCTAAGAAAATAATGGCTCTCTCTTTGTCCAGCTTGGGGCCCATAGCTCAGGCCGCGCCCAAAACAAATTTTCAGGGCAAGCGTTACGTCTACTGTCAGCCGCGCGTCCCCGCTTATTGCCACTGGGCAAAAATGCCTATTAACCCTATACTCCATGACATCTGACGCAGCCTTACCGCCCTCAGTCTGCCTCGCTGGCTCTGCTTCAGTCCTCTGCGCGAAATAATGGTTCCTGTTGAGAAACAGTCGAGGGCCTGCCATGCCAGTTCATTGAGTTTGAAATGACCGGGACAAGTCGAGGCACTGAGTGAGAATGCATTCATTTGCATATCGCTTTGATGGTATCTGTAGAACATGGCGATAAGCATTTTCCCTGAGACACTTCAGGCGTCATCGTGGATGTGTCCCCACGCGGAAATGAAAACATTACCGTACAAGGCACAGATGTAATTGGACAACATATTTCAGGTTCCAGCCTTGACACTTTGTTCCTGTTGCGCAAGTTTAGACTGCAATATTGCAAGGACCAGTGCTGCCCAGGCTGCACTGGTGAGGATTTTTATTGCCTTGTGCGGGGAAGTGGTTGGCCAACGTTGTCAACAGTCTGCCACAAAACTGGTAAGGATTTACACGCATTTCTCTTCTCAACGTTTTATAAATAGCTCCGTGCGTGTCTTTTGTTTGCTTTTCCTACAGTGGCCGGTTTTTGTTGCTCGCTGTTAATTTTCGTACAGACTCGACTGTTAACATGAGGACTTGTTTCTCTTCCATGAAACCTTTTCCAGGTAGCCTTGTTAAGCCGTTACAGTGTCTCAGGCTTCGTCCCCGAAACCAATCCCCGATGGTGGACCTGAAGCGTTTAAATCAAATTGGATTACCGTGTTTTTTTTGTTTTGTTTTTTTGCTCTCGTGCCTCTTATTTAAATATTTTGTGGCACTATTAGACTAATTAGTGCGCTTACAGCTAGTAGTAAAAAAAAACAGTTAAAGCCCGAGACGGAGCCGAAGTTGAGTACTGGAAAACGGCCCTACACTGTAAAATATCATTCTTAAATGTGCAGTATTGGCAACACAGCAGTGATTGACTCAGCGGCGGATCCAGCTTTGGGTGTCGAGAGTAAATTCGAAAGCGAATGCGGCTTCGGGCTCACTTAACATCGTGATGGGGGAGAAAAGACTCAAAAGGCTTAGCGTACTCAGTGTTCTGACATCTTTACTTTTTATTAGCTGGCGTTGTTTCTCAGGGTTTTAATTTGGTGGTAATATGGGATAAACGAATTAGACGATTTCTTTCTTTCCTACTCGCCTATGAAGTATTAGCCGTTTAAAAAATTCCGTCAGAAGGGGCAAGTTGCCCTCCCCCCTCGCTGGGTACGCCGCTGAATTGACTGTAATCCAGTGTCAGGGAAAAAGCTAACCTGTGTGTTATAACACGGGTTAATTACCCGTAATCGGTAATTAAACCAAATTTAGCTTTGCCACCTGCCGCCGTCCCTGTTTGCGTCAGTCGAGATCGAGTGTTTGCGTGTGATTGCGTGTCGTCGGGGACTGATGGGTGATCGAGTCGAGTACGCTTGTGTTTTTTTTCACAAGCCTTTGCGGGCAAACACTGAGTGTGCAGTGTTATAATTCACGTCGGGCAGGGCCAAAAAAAAATTCTAAAATTAATTAGCTGTTGAAAATGTTAATAACAAAAACTTGTATATCGATCATATTTCGGCGCCCCCGCTGTTAACAATTTGTCCTTCAATTCTGATCGGAAAGGCATGCAAGTTTTTGGATCTGCAGTAGTCGAGAGTTCGGAAGTACAGTTGCTCCACAATAATTGGGTAGAATCCTCTGGTCTGACACCTTGAATCTTGTAGTGGGCACAATTTCTAAGACATCCAAAGGTTTGCTGTAGGCTGTCACTTTAGTTTAGCCTGACTGCTGGCAGTGAACGAGCACGAGTTGAAAAGTGGAAAGTTCCTTTGTACATAAATTAGGTATCAGTCTTCCTTTCGGTAAATTGAGCAATCCGGAGAGTACTTTCGGTTTGTTTACACCATCAGTGTCACCAATGTCTCCCCGGTATTGCGTTTAAAATAAATTCAAACCGGTTTATGTTATAATATCCGGGATGAGGGTGGCTCCACTCTCTCCAGGTACTCACAGATCAGATGTAGTTGCTGGATGAAGACCATTCATGACCGCTTCGTTAAAACCGGTAATGATGTGACTTTCTCTCGCTTCTGATTCTGGTTTTCTAATTATCTTTTTATCTTAATTATCTTGATCGATTCCTTGCATAAACATCTTTCACTCTTCTACAAGGGTCCATTTGAGACGGCATGTTTGGATTTTTAACGCCAACACCAGTTCTCTTTTGACCCTTTTCCTCGTGTGGCAAGTCAACTATGGCGAATGCGGCTGACGACAGGATTGAGCGTGGAGCGCAGGCACAGTCGTCAGATCAGCCACGGGAAGGCGGCTGGGGTATAGTGGTGGTCGTCGCAGCGCACTTGTCCTTGGCGATCCAGTGGGGTTTCCAAAGAGCCGGGGGAGTCTTGTACCTCAGCTGGAAGGAAGATTTCGACACCAAGGACAAAGAGACGGCAGCAGTTCAAAGCATTTTCTCTTCCTTGTCTTGTTTCACTGGTAACTACATATCTGTTGTAAACATTCTGCGTCTGCTGCAAGATCGGTCAGCGACAAGTGTGAACCTATAGTCGCTTTTGAGTGGAAATCTTTGCACTATATATATCAGGCACCAAGCAAATCTGAAAGATAAACTGTCGCTGATCGACTTTGCCCATATTTATATATTTTTGTGGGGTATAATACGGGCGATTCACAAATAGTACGCCACCAAGAGTTTGCAACGCGTTGGCCAATTATAACGCGCGAAATTTGTCGACCCTTTCCAAACGCGCATTGGGTCGACAAATTTCGCGCGTTTTGAACTCTTGGTGGCGTACTATTGTGAAACGGCCGTACTCCCCACACCTTTCGGTGAGAGAATGGGCTATTCCTCTCACTCATCCTCCCACTTTTTCATGATGAGAAATACGGGTGGATTTGGAGATAATTGTCTGGACTTTTCGACAACCAATACAATTTTATATTCATAAACACTGAAAAGGGAGACAAATAAAAAACAATTGATACGCTGTTTGATGTCAGTTTCGGAGTGCAAGTATGCATCTTAAAGATGTACATCTGTATCACGAGCAGCGTTCCCAGAGTCATCATCGTGCTTAAAATACCCTCCTCCCTCAAGTTTGTTCTGTTGAAACAGCGTCTATTTCACTGGTATTGTCGTGTTTCCTGGAAGGTCTCTTCGCTGGCATGCTGACGGACCGACTCGGCTGCAGAGTCTCGGGAATCATCGGCGGAGTGTTGACGTCTCTCGGTCTCTTCTGCAGCTATTGGGTGACTGACATAGTCCAGCTTTACTGCACAGCTGCCATTATCGGTAACGACGTCGCACTGTTAACCCGCTGCACTAGATGCGGCTGGGATATAGTGCGCCGCATTCATTACGTCTAGGCCTATAGCAGTCCCCCAGGGGGTTAGGTTTACACCCCTCACACACCCACACACAAGTGTGTATTTGCCTGCAACTGGGGACCCCGTATTGTTCCTCTTTTGTTTGTACTTTTTTAGAAGACCACCCATATGTTTTGTACACAGTTGTCAATCGGGGACCCTCTGTCAATCGGGGACTTTATTGTCCTCTACTGTTCAGGATCCCCAGTTGAATGCAGAAACAGAGTCATGTACACACAACCCTGATCCGAATCCAAAAATGATATTATTTGTACATCGGTAGCAATTAATAACTACATAATCGATGTGTCCGCCTGTCCACAACAATCCGACAGTGAACTTAAATCTGACGAGCCCGACCCCCAGGAAAAAAAATCGTGAATGCACCCCCGTATACAGTTTTACATAAATGGAAAATACATTTAAGTGGACTTGTTTTTCACGGACTGTCGTCACAAACAAGTCTCTAGTTTGGCAGTGCATAAAGCACTCTTTTGTGAAGGTTTAAATGACTCTTCGAAGATCTCACTCGCGACTGTTTATTTCATTCTTACAGGGATTGGCATGGGAATTTGCTACAATTCGATTGTAGTTGTGGTTGCGATTTACTTCAAAAGAAGGTACAAAATAGCACACGCATTGGTCTACGCTGGCGTTGGGACGGGGATCATGGCGGTACCGCCCCTACTGCAACTTCTCCTGGAAAGCTACGGTTGGCGGGGTACGCTTCTGGTCGCCTCTGGCATCACGGCAAACAGCATCGCTCTTTCGGCTCTTTTCCGCCCAAATCGAGCTCCAGTCCCGCCGAAATCTTTTAAGCAGCCTGATTTGAATCACCAGGGGTTAACTTTAAGAGTCAGGGTGCATCCTGAGACCACAAAGGAGGATGCTACGAGTGGCGACCACAACAGCGATGAGAAGTCTCGCCATGATGAGATCGAAGTAACGCGCCAAGCACACCGGGCACTTCCGGACAGTCAGACGGATCTGGCCTCAGTCCAATCCGACCCAAAGAACGTCAACCCGGTCATTATCGCACTGAAAAGAGTCTTTGTCAGTCTAGGATTTCACCTTTTCGTCAAGAGCTACCGCTTCACTCTAATGTGCGCCATCCAGCTGGAGAGCCACATCGCTTACATGGGATTCGTGATCTATCTCGTCCCCCGTGCTCAGAGCGTGGGTGTAGCGCCTTCTAACGCCGCCTTCCTGCTCAGTATATTCGGCATCGGCAGCTTGCTCGGCCGCCTGGGGAACGGACTGCTGGTGAGCTGGAGGGTTTCGGCGGAACACGTGACAGCCATCTCCATGGTGATCGCTGGCGCATCCTTGCTCCTCCTGAACCTGGAGGGTTATGCCATTTTCGCCATAGCCTCCTTTCTTCATGGATTGCTATCGGGGATCTTTTTCACCGTCGCGATCGTCTTGATCCATCAGTTTGTCGGTGTGAACAAGTTGGCCGTCGGTGTTGGACTAAACATGATATTTGTAGGCATCGGATCTCTGACTGGACCCGTGTTTGCGGGTAAGTGTGGCACTCTTACATGCCTACATTTTCAACCTCTAGTAAATACTTTCTCAGAAACGGGACCAAGAGAGTGCGCAATTGTCATAGCAACGGAGGAGGAGTCTCCTTTGGTACTTGTAAGGTAGTAACTGACTGCAAAATTACTGTGTTGTTGAATAATTTTAACACCAATCGTTAGAGCGCATGCATCCATGAAATAAATCCTTCTGATTGGTTGATATAAAATTATAGGATGTTAACTGTTATAGATAATTATAACACTGGTGTTTTTGCAGTGTGCGCATCGCTGGTTCGCGAACGGCTATGAAACATAAGCATATTGCAGGCGCGTCACTACCAACAAAAGGAATACTCCCGCCCAACATTAATTGCTCTGTTCAACCGATCACGAGGGTGCTTCTACTCATGGCGACTGAGTAGCAGTTGAAAACCACTCCCAATTTAGCGTTTTGATATCAATACTTTTTTTTTAAAACTCCCATCAGGTTGGATTCTGGACATGACCGATTCCAGCTACCAGACGGTCTTCTACGTGCTCAGCGCAGTTTATTTCATCTGCGGCGTGCAGATGTTCCTCTTACCCCAATTGAAAAGAGTCGAACCGGGCATTTAGTGAAGCCCTGAGTTGGAGAGAACCGGCCTTTACTCTGCAAAAACTTCGGTGTAACACTGGCCCTGTGTGGTATCAGACCAGATCTAGCAGTCCTGTGAATGATTGGTGGTCCTGTGCAGAACTTTGTAGATCTTGTCCTATTGTCTGGTTGAGGCAGCTATTTCGAGTAGCCGATTCTTATTACTACGATTTGCAAGTATTTACACATAAAAACAAACAAATACAAACAAAATAAAACCAAAAAACGACGAGGCTCTTGGGCTTATCTGTTAGATAACTTTCTACTATGTCTTGATGTTTACATAATAGATCCAAGTATAGTCGCTGTTGGTTATGTTGGGCTGTCCCTACCCTACCATCCAATGAAAAAAATCGAACTGGCGAGGAACTAGTACTGTCATATCGAGTAAAACGTTACAACATTATATATTTTTTTCCAAACTTAAATTATTAAAAAAGAATGATGAAATGCTATGTGTTTGTATTTAAAAAATAGCAAGTTACACGGCGTCATTAGTAAATATAATAACACGCAAAAAATAGAGGAACTTGGAAGCTTGGCAGAAAGCAGTTTTTTCCCGTGGCCAACTCCCATTGCCTGTGATAAACATGCTTGCACTCAAACTTAAATGAAGTAGGATTGATTTCTAAAATAAAAGTGTAAATAGAACTACGTTATCGCTATTTTTATTTCTGTAACTTAATGAGCAGAGCTCTTGCAAAATGCAGGTGTGTTATTATTGCAGGGTTTGTCTACAATGTGCCAAAAACCCATTCCCTCAAATACAAAAAATCAGCTTGCTATGTTTTATCGTGTCGCACACTTTTATATTTCATTCCATATTAAATCACGAAAGATCGTACTGAGAATTTCCTAAACACTTATTTAACCAATGAAAATCGTTGTTCAAAAGACATTGCATGTCAACGAATTAAATGAACCAAAGCTTTATCATTAATCAGCAGTCTTTTCGGAGCTTCTCCTTTTTCCAGTTGCAATGTTTACACATTGTAGGGATGGAATAGATTAGTTGATTCTAGTTTTTTTATTTATTTATTTATTTTTCTTTCTTCTTTTTCGTTATCGGTAAAGGTCATGTAATAAGGCCAGATGAGGGTATTGAGTAAGCACCTCTTTTAGCTTTTGTGCTTTTTTTGGGCTGATCTCTGGACTGATCAAGTAAATAATAGGCACGGAATTATCTGCGCTGTCTACTATGTTTAGGCCACTTCGATTTCGACGCTGCAGATTTCAAGGTAAGATTCTATCCCTTTGTATTTTTCCCGAGATTCTGGCATTGAAATCACAATCAGGTAAACTAGCACTGTGATAATTGCAATGCTCTGGAAAGTGTAAAACAAGCAAGATGTTCGATGCACGACACGCTGCGCTGACTCGCAGAGGTTTAAAAGTTCAGATTTGATGTGTGGTGCAACTTATACATGTAAAACCTAGGATTCCTGTTGCGTTGAAATTATATGGAAGAGCGTGCGCGAAGAGAACAACATTAACAGTAATTTTCTGTCATTTGGCATTGCCTTTCAAAAGTTATATTAAAGTATAAGCCGTTGGCGTGATTTACGAAAATTATATAAATTCAACACCACGGTTTTGCTGGGTGATACTTCTTCCATAATTGTTTTCCATAATTCATTGTTAATTAGGGGAATGTGAAAGAGAGTCAGTGTAGTCGCCCCGCAGAACATGAAGCAAGCATCGAGGAGTGAAGCACCCCGTAGACGGCCTCCAGCGGGGGAGATACCAGACCCTCCCGAGGCCCGGTGGGGCGTCGTGGTGGTCGTGGCCTCCCACTTGAACGTGGCGCTGCTGATCGGCCTCGTCCGGTGCGTCGGGATCTTCTACCAGAGCTGGAAGCAAGAGTTCGAGACCAGCGCCAAGCAAACGGCGGCCGTCCAGAGCGTCATGACGTCCTTCTCTGCCTTTGGCGGTAAACGACGTGATGGGGGCCGATCTCAAGCGGTAGAGATCTGCCGCATACTGCTGCTCAGCAGGAAATCTTGCATACCAAATTTCTCTGCCGAGCAAAAACTGGCAGACGCCAGTTACCAGCAATACACCTATCGTGAAGTTCCGGCTGGTAGCCAGTTTTGCTTAGCATGTATATTTTTTCTGCGCTGATTGGCCTCAGAAAAACCTTGCTCGACAAACTGTACGCGCTTCAAAAAACAACACAAAACAGTAGTCCATTCTTCAACTATTTGACTTGTAACTGTTTTACTTGAATTTTTTCTGCCTAGAAAAGTTTCCACAACAAATCCCTAAAGCAACTCCCCTCTGATTGAGTTGCATTCTTCGCATGCATATTACAACTTCGTTGCAGTTTTCAAGAATTGATCTTGCAAGTTTTAAATCTGAAAACAAAGCTTAATAAAAGAAAAAAGCCACTCGACCAAATTAACCAAGTCAACCATATTTAACAAAATCAACAAGTCGGAGTCCAAGTCCAAAGCCCGAATTGACATAGAGAGCTTTGTGATTGATTTCCCGCCTTTTTCCCCTTTAAAAAGGCATCATCGGAGGTATTCTGACCAAACGACAAGGCTGCAGACGGTGCGGGATTCTCGGGGGACTTTTGGCGACATGTGGTCTCTTGAGCAGCCATTGGGTGTCCAGCATCTACCAGCTGTACTTCACTGCAGTGTTAACAGGTGATTTAGCAAAAAGGGATTCGGTGAATTAGTGGCTCTGTCTTTGAATTTTGACTCGTCGTGGCTTATCAGATTTACCAAGTTGTGAGTTGGAGCGCTGCCAGAAGCATTGGAGTCGGATTTTACAGAGCGTGCGTGGGCCGCGGAAAACTCGGATGTTATTTCGTCCGTAAAATTCGGAAATATTCTAAGAGTTAAGGTTCCAAAGAACTTTCCAGTTGCCGAAGTTGCCACATTGCTGTCTCTGGCTCACCAGAAAAATTGTGAAGCGTTTTTTCGGGGGATCGAAACGTGGCGTCCGTGATTAGACCAAACAACGACTGGCGAAGACGTTCACCTGGAAATTTACTTATCCCGAGTTCTCGAGACCCGTGGTCTTTACGCCTATGGTGGTAGACATCACAAGTCCTAGTAAAGATGGATCTATAGAGTTTGACAACATTAAGTATTGATTGTGGCGTTTTGCCCAAGCACTCAATTTTCCTCCAAAATTTGTGAAAAAGGCAGCAAAAGCAAGTTTTTATAGTTCTTCGTCAAACATCAGTCCTAAACCACTGCTGGCAAATTGACCTTTCAAACCTCTCCGCAAAAAGAGGACAGCGTTATCGGTTTCTTGAATGAGCAGTTCATCCGTCTTTTCTTTACATTTTTTTTCCTTCAAGGTACCGGCATAGGGCTAAGCTACACAGCTGCGATAGTGATAGTCGCTCTTCACTTTAAGAGGAAGTACAAGACGGCTAATGCCGTGGCCTTCTCCGGAAGCGGGACTGGATTGATCGCGGCACCGCCGCTCATGCAGGCTCTGCTGGACAACTTCGGGTGGAGGGGAGCCGTTCTCATCAGCGCTGCTCTGATGGCAAACGCAGTCGCGTTTAGCACCCTGTTCAGATCTCCCTTGAGAGCGGAACGGCCCAACCGGGCATCGAATGCGACCGTCGAGCAGGTGGATTCACCCGAGTGTGGGGACGACCCCATTTTGGATCATGCAAGGGATACTTTTGAGGAAGTTCCACGCACGGAGGACGAGCGATGCTGCGATGCTACGGACGAGCTTGAAATTCTGAGTGAGGGGAACCATGTTAGTGAAGTTACGCAAGGCAACAGAGATGGGTACGCTCCACTTAAAGATTCCAAGAGATCTCGTCATGCAGTGGGCGTGACCTTGCTCAAGAGATTCTCAGAGACGTTTGGATTAAACATTCTGATAAGGAGCTATCGCTTTGCCTTGTTGTGCCTGCTGCAGTTCGAGTTCAGCTTGTCTTACCTGGGATTTCTGCAGTTCCTCATTCCCCGAGCTGAAAGCGCGGGTGTGGCGTCCCAAGACGCCGCCGTATTGCTGAGTCTATTTGGCGTCGGCATCCTGCTGGGTCGGTTGGTCAACGGCGTGCTCATCAGCTGGAGACTGGCCGCTGAGCACGTGACGACTGCCGGTCTGGCCCTGGCCGGGCTGACCTTGTTGGTCGCCAACGTGGACAGCTACGCCGCCCTGGCGGTGGCCTCGTCCGTCCAGGGCTTTGCCGTTGGGTTTCTGGTCGCTGTCATGGTTGTCCTGACGCGGCGGTTCGTCGGTATGGCCAACTTCGCTGTCGGTGTGGCGCTGTGTAGTTTCTCTGTTGGCATTGGAGTTCTAACTGGTCCAGTGATGGCAGGTAAGCCATATGTATTTCGAGATTCTACGGGATGTCTGCTGGTTCACATGTTAAAAGATTTTTTTGTCCTGACAAGATCGTAGTTCAGCTATCAGGAAGCTTCTTTCGTCACTTGACTATCAGAACAGAGTGTGCTTGGTGCCAAAAATAAATAACATTAAATATCTGAATCCACTTCAAATCAATCAAGTTAAGCACTGGTAATCTGATTCAGTGAGTCAAAGTTCAAAGTTCAGATTCATAGCTTATTTATAAACTGTAAAGTAAGTGTCATATATTTAGACATCACAGCAAATGCACCTTCTGTTATTGAGAACAACACTTTCTTTTGCGAAATGTACGCCAACGTAATGACTGAGGTGTTGCCGTTGTTTTAAGAAGAATGGCAAGGGCAGATGCAGAGCCAAAATTTCGGGGGGGGGGAAACTTGTTTTCTGGGAAGCCAAACTGTTTGGAATTTTTTTTCCTTTTGGGGAGTGAGGCTACCATTGGAGGGCTTTTCGCACGTGTTTTGGAGGAAGGGAAATGAAATACACAGACAAAACGTTGCCTGTATCTCATTATTATTAAACAAAGCTCGGTTTTTGGGGGGGGGTGTCATGGACCCCGGTGCCCCCCCCACCCTTAAGGGATGGCAGCATGTATTTCCCAGTTAAGTTTCAATTTCGTTGAACTTTTTCAATGATTTTTTTTAAATAAAGTGACAGCAGGGTTCCCGTCACCATCGATCTCAACTACAGGAACAGGACTTTGAACTGACCGATTTGTGTTGTTTCACTCAGGCTGGCTGCTGGACGCGACGGGGAACTACGAGACGGTCTTTTACGTGCTCGCCGGTTGGTATTTCCTGTGTGCGGTACAAATGTTATTTCTTCCCCTGCTGAAAAGACACGAGCCCGGCATTGACATTCAGCCTTCGGATAGATAGCTAAAGAGCAACTGGACAAGTAACACTTAAAAGACAGCGATTTTAAGCTTCCTTCGGAATGAGGGGGCTTACTATGTATGTATGAGTACCAAGTCAGTTTTTCTTTATGGTTGGTTTGATAAAATGGTTCTTTTTCATTAATCATTCGGTTGAAGTATTTTGTTCACACGCTTAACCTGGTTTATAATTTTGCTTTCAATTGTCCTTATGCCCAGTCCGATTGTTAACATACATACACACGTTGTCCTTATGTCTTTTTGTAACTAAAAGTAGAAAAGTGCACAATGTTGTTAAATAAAATAATAAAATAGTATTATTCACAGTACCCTAAACTTTTATGTACTTTGTGGCAATGATTTTGTAAGTTTAACTTACAACTTGGTAAGCTAATCATAATAGATTTTGCTTTTGTAATTTCATGGTTTGTAGTAAGCCTAAACAGAATTACAAATACCTGTATACAGCTGCATTAACTTATTTGACATACAGATGAGGTAATTTCGAAAAAATAAGGGAGTAGGTTTGGGATTTTACATGCCGAACTTACGTCATTTATTCGATTGACTGACTGCTACATTCTATAAGCTCGTAACGATACTGCGCATTTCTAAGAAGTCTGACGACTGATAATAATTTGAATCAATCAATTGGTGGCGCTGTTTCTCTCGGTGATCGACGATAAGCCAGTCACTCCGTGCATGACGTCACTACGCAAAGCGTACTCTCGCGCTGCATCGAAAACCCATTTCACAGAACGCGGTACGGACAGACACACTGCAAACAACACGTGGGTGCGGTGGCGCACGCGTACGTACGTGCACGTCTGTAGTATACATGTACTGAGCGCACGGTGGTCGCTTAATTAATCCAATCATCAAGACAGCACCTAAGAAATTAATCTCTGTGGAATCGCTGGCACACCATTAAATTAAGTACTAGTAAGTACCATGTATTAGCTTTTATTATTTGACACTAATACTTTACAGGAATAAAATTCCTAGGCCATGTAGGCCTACATGTAGTCCTTGAGACCATGGAGGAAGGAAAACACCATGTTGAGAGTGAGACTGTTACGCCCCAACTATAGCATAAGTCCCAACTATAGTTGGGCCCGTCCCAACTAGAGTGCTACAGTTGGGCCGGCCCAACTACAGCAGAGAGGTCCTGTGTGCATGATGTGCCCAGCATGTGCCAAAGTCATATTGTTTAAAATGTCATGTCTTCGGTCATAGGGCTAGATGAACAGATGAAGTGCCACATTTTAGATGAATTGTGTCAAGTGTGAGACACACTGACTTGGATAATGTCAATTACAACCAACCAAGGGGATACTTTACCCCGTGAGTAGTGAACGACCGAACATTCTGGTGCATTTTCAGCTCATAAAATCAAGCAGGTGTAATGCCCCCGGATATCCCCGATGAATCGGGATAGGGCCCAGTATACGATGGAGGAGCATACTCTCTAAATTCCATAGAGTGAAAATTCACTCTGTTTGAGTGAAAATTCAATCCCTCCGATTGAAATTAAGGACCAGACGAATTGGAGTGAAATTTATTCACTCCAAAAGATTGAAATTTCACTTGAGCTCCAACTGGGAAGGGGCTATTTTCAGCCTTTTTTAGTCTAAATTCAGAGTGATTTTCACTCTAAAATGTCTTGTCCCCAATTTCACTCTTTCTGATTTAGAGAGTACGTTGGGCCCTGTTTGCGGGTCTACCTTTCATTAGGCCTACATCCATGATCATGAAGGCCTACGTAGGCCTGCATCATACATGACAGAAATGTTGAGTTCACACACTTGCTACTGCCACTGTGTACTGTACTGAGTTCCAAAGCCTTTGCAATTACATCAATCACGTACTGTAGGTCTATTAAGCTAATTTCCATTTTTATTTTTTTTTTGAAGTGCAAAATGAACGTTTTGAAAATGTACCCACAGTGAAGAAAGTTAAACAACGTTATGCCTACTTTTCTGAAAATTGGTTTGTCATGTATGTATATTTAGGGGTAATACTAGAATTTATCCACTTTGAAGAACTTACGTTTGATGTGGTATTTTCAAAGATTTGTTCAAGTATGCCACAAATAACGAACAGTCAGCTGAATTTGTGCCAATTTCTGGATGCAGTTGATTTTGAATTACAGGTTTTTAAATTTCATTTCACCAAAATTGTTCACAGAGGTGATCAGTAGCGTGTATTTTTAAGGTTTACTGTAACTGAATGAATTCAAAGTTTTTCAGCAAAGAGGTTTGGCAGTGATGCATGAGAAAAGTCGAGGAAACGTCGAAGAGTGGCACGTTAGAGACTCAACTTCATTAGGGCCAGGCTAGTGGACTATACCTCCGTATGCGTGGCCCTACTCCTAAACTAGAAACAAGTGGAGGAAGGCTTAAACATTGGGATCAAGCTCCCCGGCCATGAACGGTGTCAGCCACCTACAGGTATTTTTCAATTGCCTTTTTGATTAATTCACCCAGTAGTTTATCGTGTTCAATTTGCCCAACTGGTGAATTCCTCACCATCATTGGTGAATTATTTGTTCTTACGATGCCTTAATTTTGTTACAACTGTGATTTGCTCAAGATCTCTACTGGCAGTGAGTATGTACAAATCCAGACACCAGCAGTTGTGTTGATCTCTGAGAACGTTAATTACTGCACATCACATTAGGTGCGTTCAACTAGCATCTATCATGTGTTCGAATGAATCTATTTTTAACATAAGAGTAGCTCCCCTTAGGCTTTCATGCCTGTAAAAGTATGTAGTATGCCAGTACAGTCATTGCAAAAGTTTAGGACCACTCATACAAAGTGCATCAACCTGAAGAAAAACCAAACTTAAACCAATCAATCATGGCAACTTATGTTTATTTTCAGTGTGTAACCTTCGTATCTTGGTTAAACAGCTATTTGACTACATTTCCATGAAATGTTAACAGTCTAATGTTTAGTGTGCCCTCCTTTTTCTGATTACTGAGACTTTTTTCTGATTACTTTTGTTTTACCCATGCTACCTTAAAGACAAAATATCATACAAGACCTGCTTTTGCAAAAGCAACAGATAGCACTACTCCACTGATGTTATGCACCATTCAATGAGACAATGTAATGCAGGCCCAGTGACAGAAATACCAATAAAATTCCAGGTGGTCTTAAACTTTTGCAGACTACTTGCATGTTTAATTTTGGCCACATACATGTAGTATGGCCATGATACTCAGTGAAGCAGATCAGCAGAGACAAGTCAACTTTCATGTCATTTATTGTTCCACATAAGTGGAGTGTGGTTTTCTGCTGGAGTCCTGTCTGCTAGAGTCAGTGATTGAAGTGTGAGCGTACATATGTTTGACACACTGTGCTGATGAATGCTAAAAAAGCCCAGTTATTTTGGACCATGTAACTTCACAGTTGGCACTGTGACTCGGCCGTCCCATGCTTCAGTTTGTAAAAATTAGGTTCGCTCAATCCAACATATTGTTTTGTTATGATGGTCATTTGAAGTTCAAGACCGCGCACACTGTATGTGCAGGCCCGCCTACATGTACATTGAGCATGGCAGTGGAGAAGTATAAATTTTTGGCTGATCCGTGATTCCACAGCCCCCAGCCCTTTTTTGTGGGTTCAATTTTAGTTCATGGTTTTCAAGTCTTAATTAATTTTTCAGTTTGGTCATTTTTTTAAAGGGTTGATCATTTTTTTGGGGGGGGTTGATACATGTAGAAATGGTGTGCGAGTTCCTATTAGACGAACATGGAGCGCCGAGAGCGCCCTCTCTTCGACAAGTTAACCTCGGACTAGTACAGGATTCCTGAACTTTGCTTTATTCTCATTCCTGTGTCGTGGGTGGACCACTTAAGGTAAAAAGAATTGTGCTGTCCAGTAAATGAAGCGCCCTCACACTGCCTATAGGTCTGGAATGCAGAAATCAGCAGCCAGTGGCCTCCTGCCAGGTGTAAGGCTCTCAGAACGGAGTGGTCTAAAAATGATAAAAAGACAGGCACTAAAATGGACTAAAACTTGGCGCGACTGAACACTTGCGCGGCTTAATCAACAAAAACCACGCGGACCACAAGGGGGCGCTATACTACATTCAACCACAACTCGCACTGCCGGGCCAGGGGCGAACATAACACCTATTGAATCAGTTCCCTGCAACTTTGCCGTTGGAGATTCTTTAGTTAGTTTGAGTTTCTTTTCTTGTGATAGCTTGCTAGTTTTCCAGGTCTGCCTTGTAATTGAATGCACCCTACATGCCTGCATTGCATTGGCACGCCTTGATGCTGGACACCACACCTGCATACACACCTGGCAGCTGGCAATCAGGTAAGAAATGACTGAACGAGGGAGCCATGTAAGTCTGGATATGACATCATTGCCCATGTACATGTATTTGACACCTGCTAACCCTTCTGATTTGATCGCAATTATTAGGCTGCTGTGGTGGCTTTACCCTCCATCCAAGAGATGGGGGCTGCGTGGGGTGGAAAGCGATGGAAGGTGTTATGCCACTGTGTGTGGGAGGGGGATAGCCTTTCCTCGCCCCTATAGGGTGAGGAAGATCAGGCATAAATTGAATAATGTATCTGCCTTTCAACTGAAAATCTTTCCTTATTTAAAATAAAGTGGAATTTGCCACTTGGTGCAGCCATTAAAAAAAATGTATGGTTCTGTGTTAATTTCTGTTGTCTTAGAGAACTAAATTAAAAACGAAACGGACTGCACGGTGCCAGATGTTATGCACGTTACATGATGACAAATATGGCTAAGAACATAACCGGTGGTAAACCTGTCTGGGGTATAATTTCCACCTAAATTTACTGATGAAAGTCATAATTTTGAATCTTTGAACCGTTTTTTGCAGCTCCTTAAAAATAGCACCATGAAAATGAATATTTGTCTAGTAAAAAGAAATTTTTTATTATAAATGGGTGAATTAGTTAAACCAATTTGTGAATATTTTAATTTCACAGATCAAGCCTCTTATTATCATAATATCTGCTCTTGGAACATTGATGAAGGTCCAAGCAAGACGGTCAGATTGCGGAATCAAAGAGGGCCAGCAGTCTACTACCTTTAGAAGAGGAGTTTAAAAAGTTGGTGAAAACTGCATGTATGACTTTGCAAACATTGACCTTGACCCTAACCCTGCCAGATGCAGCATACTGCAGCAGATGGAAAAGTCTGGTGCCCTGTAGCTGTGTTCCCATTGGATTTAATATCGTAATTCTACAGGAAAGTTGTATTAAGTTAACCAAAAAAAATCCAATGGGAACACGACTTTTGATGCACTGGGCAATTAATCAACAGCAGCCAAACAAACTGGTCATGTTGAGACAATGGGAGCTAGTCCCATTGAACAATATGCCACTGGTGGATCTTTTGGTGGCTGGCAACCCCAGACTGCCAGGCTGTTTGGCCTTGGGGAGAGTTGACCTGTAGGATCGTGTTACACTGGGCAAGCAAATTACTTTGACAAATGATGCAGACTGGTGTGTCTGGCAGGGTTTCTAGTCATGGTCAAACAACCCTGAACAGTTAGGGTTATATATTGTACTTGTTTTAATGATGAAAATGATTTTGGAATCATTCATATTGATTGACAGAAATGAGGCCTTTCTATTTCTCCAGTCCAGTTAACTTTTTCTTTATTGTTAGGGCACTTCAAGTGTTGGCAAGTGGATAGAAGCAGAGATGGTAGTGAGAGTGGAAGAAACCTGTGCTGTCCATCCAGGAGGAGTCTGTCTTCTGCAGTGACTGTAAGTTGTCTTTTCAAATATTGAAGATGATGTTGAGGCCAAACATTGATGTCACAGTCACATGCACAAAGCAATGTTAAGGCAATGCTGAAGACTTCAAGTATAGACACTCAAGCCAATAGGGGTCGTAAGATATTACCTGAACCAAATCACTTTCAGGTTTGACAATTTAACAGTCACCATTTTGCAGTTAATTGTGAGTGCTCATTTGACCCTAAAAGAACCAGGGAGTAGATAGGATCTGCCCCCTCAAGATTTTTTTCTGATATCGCCACAGTACAGTAGTCAAGCCTTCAGGAGTATTTCAGTAACTCTTTGTGGGCTTCTTGACACCAATTCTGTGGAAATTGCACATACTGAGTGTATCTTTCTCATTACAAGCACCCCTTTTTCCTGAAAGAAAAGCAAAAAAAAGGAAAGGAAGGTCCGAGCCTATGTGGCTCATCAGGCTGGTGTTTATTTGCAGTTTCCTTGGCATGAAATGACTGAGCATATTTTGTTTTCCCCCTAGATGGGAAGCCAGTCCATCATCGCAGGTTGCTTCCCCGCCTAATGGTGGTACCCATTTATACTCCTGGGTGGAGAGAGGCAAGCAGGGGTGAAGTGGCCAGCAGCTGGATCTCGGCTGTGAGATGGAACAAAATAACCTGGCAACTTCAGGGTTAACACTGGAATAATACTGACAGAACTTGGTGACATTAATTGGTTTCTCCTAGCAATCCTGGCAGGAGGAATTTCCGTTATGTTTGCTGCATCAGAGGCTCTGCTATAAAATGCTGACTAACAACAGAGGGCGCTATAACCATTCCATGAAGTCTACTACGTCACACAACGGTAATGGAAAGATTAGAGGGAAAACAGAACTGAACACGACCATAATGGAACAATGGTAATGGAAAGAGGAAAAAAGAACTGAA